CTTGTGGATTCGTGACGTCATTGTGATTGACTTTTCAATTGAAATTCTCTCGACTTGTTATGGTCTCATGATCCCTCCATTAAAGTTTATATGTACCTTTGACATTGTTATCGTACTTATCAACTGGGATAATATTTTGACAATGCACAGTTTCTTTATGTGGCTAGTATACATAACATATAGTGACTGCTTTAAGTGAGTTAAAACTTTTGGTTGGTAGTATACATACTCTGGAAGTGCGAAAATGTTGCACGCGATGTTAGACCCCCTTCCCCTCCTCTATGTCGCCTCATCTCACCTCACCTCACCTCATCTCACCTGAAAAAGGATGTGTGCGAAGCCAAGCTTCCCCACCCCCCTAATTCAAGCAACATGGTGATGTTAACTGATGCTCCCTCGGACAGATCTTGTGAGATGCATCCTCTTATTCTTCATAATCAGGCCATTGCTGAAAGCGGCATAATACTAAACTCACTCACTCACTGTTAATCAGGCCAACGGGTCACGGAGGCGTATGCCTCTATTGTATAAACTGTCGTTGCAGGAATTCTGCAGAACCGATTAAACCTCCCGCTGGGGAATACGTGACATTTTCAATTTGACATTACAGACTCAAAACTGGCGTTCAGAACATTGGTCATTATACGGGGAATGAAACAGGTGTTTCATACATCACGTGATCAGCTCGTGCAAACTGACACAACTTCCTGCATTGAAATTCATGATTACAAAATGAATGGAAACAATGTATTGAACAAATCGTTCTGTACTACAATATTATTTATATTTTCTCGTACAAACGATGTCCATCTTACTTGTACACAATACTATCAGAAAGCTGTCAGATAGAACATATGTTATGCTTTGAATTACACTTCATCAGTGAAGTACAGACTCTAGTACTTTTGGGGTTGAGTCCTGCCCGGGCTTCCACAAACAAATTGAAGTCTGACAACTGGTTGTCCAGATCACCCATGGCCGAAGCTACCAGTATGCATTTTCAGATTGGTCAAATCAACACAGTAACGGGATTACATTCTCTCTTGTAGCTTTGGGCTTGTACGTTTGGGGTTGAGTCCCATCGGGCACTAGAATCTGCACTTTACTGAGAAAGTGTAATCTCAAATATAACACATGATGCTCATATGACGCTACCAAGCAAGCTACATTTGTACTGGGCGAAGTAAGTATATACAATATACTGACTAACTGACAGAATTTGGTTTTACGCCGCTTTTAGCAATATTCCAGCAACATCACGGCGGGGACGCCAGAAATTGGCTTCACACATTGTACCCATGTGGGGATTCGAACCCGGGTCTTCGGCGTGACGAGCCAACGCTTTAACCACTAGGCTACCCCACCGTCCCTATATACAATATACATGTATTATATAAGTTTGATTGTGGCTTAAACTGAAATTAACACAAAATGGCTATTCGATGGGTGTGTATTCCAAACAGTATCACGTTAGTGTTTGGGCGCGTGGGGTTTCTATGGCTGTTTTCAGTCAATATACGTTTCAGTAATGTCTTTTCTCCTGTGTAGTTTATCGTATGGCAGTTTATAGCAATACAAACTAGGGTGATCTTGAGATCAATAATGCCCTTGTTTACTTGAACACAAAGGTCATGGGCAAATAGAAGACTACTTTCAATGCAACTTAGCGAGCAACTGACTTTACTGTGGTACTGCAGTACAACAAAGACGTACTTTCTATGCAAATTGTGTGTGTGTGTGTGTGTGTGTGTGTGTGCGCGCGCGCTGTTAGTAGAGCATAAAATGTTCACCTCTTTCGCGAACACCTGTCGCCATCACTGATTTTCAGTCGTCCATTATATAACTTTAGTTACTATCAACCTTGTACGTTAAATGGAATCAGTTCCGATAGATAAACATATTCCATTTAACGTAAAAGGTTATTAATCGACAGTTATTATGCTCGGGCGTTAATGTATAATTATTTATGCTCATGAAAAATGGTGATATGTCTCAATATTTTAAACTCCTCTCTTAGCGCTAAGATAGTCGTAGATTAATGTTGATGTATGGCACTTAGTCTTAGTGCTAAGAGAGCTTCGAAAATCTAGGCCCTGACTGGTACATTTAGTTTCTTGGGATGAGGTTAAATGGGGTTTAACGTCACGTCCATTATGCGAATACAGGGACATGTATGCGTGTGTGCGTGCGTGCGTGCTGACCACCTTATTGTCGAGACCCAGACAGGAAAGCAACAAGTACCATCATTTAGCGTCTTAAGTTATGACAAGAGTCACGAAATCCATGCTTTTGATTGAGTAATTGGTGCGGAAGCCACAGTCAACAATATTTACCTGTATCAAAAACCGAGCGTCGTTCAGACAAAACCGATGGGCGATGGCAAAATAAATATCCACATCGTAGGACAATATGGCATACCGTTTCACATCGTATCCACCTGATCCACGATTTAGTCCACGCCAGCGACAAGATCTTCTTGCGGGGAAACATTTCCAAGCCAGCTTGCCCATGAGATGAGAAACCAAAGGTTTCAAGCATACACACAGATAATCATCAGATAACGGTATTATACAGTGTGCTATGAGTGCAGCGTTAACCAAGCCAAACCCACAATAAACCAAATCAACAAAGAAATACGAGCGATGACATGTGCTATCGCTGAAGGTAAGCTTCAGTACCTAATTGTAGGAAGTAATTATCACAGCAACATCCCCACCCCTGGTGATATTCTCGTCCAAGCTTTCACCTCCAGTCGTAACATACTCCGTTTGGTGTCCCCGTTCACGCGGCAGGCGATGATAGGCGCCAGACTCCACCATTTGTACGTTTCTCCTTCCCCTAATTAGGTTAGTTGGTTCTGGTTGTCGTCACTTCAACTGATTATTGACATGCTCACAACTGTTTAAAGAGGAGAACACCAGGGGCAAAGATTGTCTGCCAGTCCAGTTGATTAAGAAATAAAACACGGACCAACTGGCCAGAGGTTACTGTCTTGGCTGAGATATGTAAGCTGTCCAGCTGACTACTTTGTCTGCGAGAGTACGTTTAGGTTTTGGAGAGTTGAATGGTGCCTTGTTTGGCATGACTTACTGGGATTAACTCAGGTCCTCTACACAGAACTTAGTTTAGTTGTTCATGCTAACAATACCTGTTAAGGATAACAGTTTCTTCATGAACTGCCCTTAACCCATCAATATTAGCGTGATTTATTACAGTCCGTTTGAGTCAGAAACGGACCGATGAATTGCAAATTTTATCATTGTACAAAATTGCCACATAAATATAAATAGTACACATGTTTATCATTTACTAATACCCAACAGCTTTCTTATATTTGAAAATTTTCCGGACGCCACCAAAAGTTCTTGAAGAAACTATCATTAAAATTTTGACACAGTTCACTATTTGTTACGAAGGAGGAGTGCAGAGAAAGGGACAGCCAGACTAATGAATCAATAACTTGGTGGGCACTTGTGCACGTGCTTCTCTAACACCTGGCTGTCCCTTTCTCTGCACTCCTCCCTCGTAACAAATAGTGAACTATGTCAAAATTTTAATGATAGTTTCTTCAAGAACTTTTTAGGTGGCGTCTGGAAAATGTTGGGTATTAGTAAATGATAAACATGTGTACTATTTATATTTATGTGGCAATTTTGTACAATGATTAAATTTGCAATTCATCGGTCCGTTTCTGACTCAAACGGAATGTAGGCTATGGTGATCATTAACCCAGGTTATATGGTTAATCGTTTGAGATATTCCGGGATGTTTTCGTGCAGGTTCATTAGGAAGATATAACTAAATGTATAATTATATGCAATCAGCAATAGCTTAGCCGAACGCTTGTATAAGGAGTTCAGTTTATCTATTAATTCTCATCCGCAGTGCTTATGCTAATCAGACTCAGATGTATTTGCATTGGTCAGGTACGCCTGTGAGGAAAAATTCGTTACTTGTTATTCAAATTATCAGAGTGTGTTATTGGCGCACCACGTGTTTGCCTTCACACGAACACTTAGTGTTGTCTGGGTTTCGGTGATCCATTCACATGATTTTAGCGAATTATATTTTTTCTTCCCCAGTGGAATTCGTTTCAGCGGACAAATGAAAATCGTTTTTCCCTCGATTTGACTTTTCGTATTTAGGGTCGATCTGACAAAACTGTGATTTGGTGACCACAATTGTCAGTGAATATGAATATTTGATGAATACTGAGAAAGTCGGAATATCTGATTAGAATTGGTGAGATGGGTTTCAGGGTACACGACTGATAGCATGGTTTGAGGAATAATAAGTTCCGGTTGTGGTTCGTTTAAAGTTATAGTGACATTGCGTAAGGTCATGTATATAATCGTTTTCAAAATATATGATTAAGGAACGGTGTTTAAAGTATTCATTTGATTGGGAATATATTGAAAGATTATCTGATATTCTTTTGTCTGGAAATACGCGTTGTTATCCAGATGATACATCACGTACCAATTCCTTATATTAGATGCAAAGTTCAGGAGCTCGTTACTATGGAAACGTTGCCAAACAAGATACACATGATCGCTGCAAGTTACGTGAATGCAAGGATTCTATTTTTCCAAATAAACAGTTTGAGATACAAAGAATACATGAGAATCAAGTGTGTATGGAACTACCGGCTCAGTCTAAGACACTGTCACACAACACAATTATATACAGTGCAAAAAAAGTACAGAAAAGTGCATGCAAAAATAACTTTTTTCGCGAACAACGTGTGTTGTCGCTGATTCTCAGTGATCTCTCGAATATTTTTGCCTTTTTTGGAATCCGTTACGACTGATAATCAAACTTCTTCAGCGTTGACGTTATATACTTACTATCTTGAAGTCGAGAGATTGAATATATCAGTGGTTTCAAACCGGAAAACCCCTGTCCGCGAAATATTAACACCAGCGTCACTTCCGGGTCCAAAGGCATCACGTTATTCCAATGTTATTCCAATGTCTAAACCATCATCTTGTTTCTGGCAGGTCATCAAAGCATGGGCACAAGGGGGGCGCCGCCCTGCCCGGAGGCCCGACTCCTTCCTGGAGCGGTTCGCCATGGGGGGCAAAGACATGCACCACCACCCCGGGGTCCGACAGAGGAAGATCTCAGACATACGGTAAGTTAAAGACACGCCAATATTGACAGTCCACCATGAATGCATGTTAAATGATGCAATAATAGACCTTTCCCTATGAATACACAATGCCATCCCTGATGGGACTCAACCCATCAAAAGTACTAGAATCTGTTCCTCTAATGTAGGAATATACCCTAACTGGGCCATGCACGTCGAAGAAAAATGATAATAGCCACTGCCTTGTTGTCCAAAAAGAAAAACACTTTTATATTCATAAATGATGTCGTGGTAAAGGTTTTTTCTTGGTTTCGGATGTGTAAAGCACAATTTGGTCATCGTTTTAACCTGTATAGAAGGGCGATATCATCATAACTCTATTGAAAGAATCGGCCTGCCATGAATGGACTTTCCTTCACGTGATATATTGAAATAAAAAATTATTAACTACCTTTGACATGAAAAAGTCCACAGGTTCCCACCAAACCCACAGAACAAGGCTCGACTGTATTACCTACTGAATCCTACATCATTTTGCTGTACACCCGACAATCTAAATATTTACGATTACACAGCTACACAAATAAATCAATTTTATGTGTTAACAATCTATGTTGAGAATCTATCATCAAGTACATCCAAGATATTGAATAATATCATGCATGTGAGATCAACGGTTAAAAAGGTTGTCATTTAACAAATGTCATGATTTGCATAGGGGTACACCGATTATTCGTTATCGTATAAAAACGTACATCGTGTTCCTAATCATTAAGCACGCATAATCACGTTCGAAAGCCTGCATCACTTTGGATTTTTCTCTCATATTACCTTGGCAAACCGTGATGGAATGATGCTCGAAACGGATTCAAACCCAAAACACTCACTCACTCCTTGTACCCTTGTATATGACTTACAAAACCAAATCAGTATTTAGCTTACATGTACGTTTGACTTGGCTAACACCTACTCACATCTGTAGTGTATATTGACCTCATCAAATGGATTTGAAGCTGATGCCCATCCACGAAGCTGTTAGAAACGCCTCCCCCAACAGGGACTCAAATGGACTTGAAGCTGATGCCCATATATGAAGCTGTTAGAAACGTCTCCCCAACAGGGACTCCACATACAAATTACGAGTACACTTCACATGAGGAGATAATGTGTTTAAAGTCTGCATATGCATATATCTGTTGACATTTGAAATCCCTTGTCGACACATTATACCTACCAAAGGAAATGGTGGCCCTTAACTCGAGATACCGACACCGAATAAATCGATCAAAAACTGTTGCTATGAAGACCCGCGGCATATGACCTTTCGTGGTACTTAATGGCAGGTTTGTAGAGGCTTTTAAATAAATCTCTCATCGCCCATGAAAGCGAACAAGGTCTCCTTGCTATCCATGACTCTGCTTCTCACAAGATCTCTTGATCAAAATGGCGGCGTCTGGCAAGAGGCCATCATTTGATTGGCTGAAATCGGATCGCCTAGCGCTTCCAAACATCGGCGTAAATTTCTCCCAGTGAACTCGATGGTATTTCTGAACTGATTGTCTCTTAAGGTTTAAATAAATTCTCAAAGCAGCCTGCACTATCACGGATTGAAGGAATTGTTGAGATCTGATATATTGCATACACAGTCCCTCAATTTCATGAAGGACACGAAATATGGACATGTGGAGATGAATGGGACGATAATTGGCGCCTGAAAGAATGAGGGTGCATGAAGATGGTTTATAGGAACCTTACGAAAATTCCAGCGTTTCGCTGCAGATATTACGTGCGCGATCACCGTATGTGATAATGTAATCCTGCCTAGCTCAAATACAATCAACCATTTCGGCTCTGCTCCCAGCGAGGAGATAATTACTCTAGCATTAAGTGTGTCTTTGCCCAGTTGCTGCAACAAAACTGAAAACTCGCGGACTAGAACACGAAACTGTATTAGCGTCCAGTGAAATAAAATTAGAGTTAATTGCCATGGTTTATCTTCCCTTATCCCTCATGCCTGTACACACCTTAAATTGTGATAGATGCTCAAATGCAGGGGCGATCGATGACGGGAACCTGATCTCGCGAGAAACGAGATGTCTGCGCTGCCAACATTGAATTACTCTCGAGCCCAGTTGCTTTAGAAGCTTCATTACCACAAATTCGGGATCAATCTTCAAAAGAATTGCCACCAAATTCCTTCAAGATGTCTCTATGTGCCCGGGCCACGATTACAGACAGTCGGTCCATACTGTCTTCAGTTCCCCCAGCGGCCCATGGACCCTTGGTCACAGAAGTCGAGTGAAGTTCAAATATTTTGGTTGGAGGTTATTTCAATGACGTAAGCACGAGTTCAAGTGGTGGGGAAAGCGTTGCCAGTCACGGAAGAAGATTGTGGGCGACAGATGAACATTGGCTTTATCAGATGTCTCAGTTCATGAGATATTGCATGCGTTTGTTTGAGCTGCTCGTGACCGCCTTGACAAAATGATTCTTATGATTAAGTTATTATTTGATACTAGGTATTTGTGGGAAATGAAAACTGTCAAAATGTCAGCGAAATAAAGATTCATTGTCCAGTTTATGAAACTCTAACATGTCAAAATGTCGGCAAAATTGTACGGGTGATTACATTTTTTATTGTGCTTACAATACACTATGTTATTTATGCTCTAGACAACAACGCAAATCGCGTGTCATGGTAAAAAGAATTAAACTTTAAATGTCACTCTACCGGTTCGGGAAGCTAGATGGGGGCTTTCACTTCAAGATTGTTGCACTCATATAACGCGTATACGTGCGTGCGTCTGTGCGTGTGTGTGTCTGCGTATTCTTGCCGAGACAAATGCCGGTTTTATAATGCTTGCCCGCTAGCACCATGCCACAGTTTAACATGGAGGAATAACTTCCTCAGACACATCACTGGGACTCCGCGCAGACCATTCCTCGTTATATCCCCTAATGCTAAGCTCAGGGTAACAAGTACCCACTGTTAATACAACGCCATGGTAGGTTGCCCCTGAAGTTACGCTTGTAATATTAACAATTGTACCCAAATCAAATCGAAATACAAACCCTTCCTTATGAAACACTGTCGAGTAAGTGAGTGAGTATAATCTTTACGCCGCGTTTAACAATAGTCAAATATATCACGACAGGTGGTGCGAGAATTGGGCATCATGTATTTGAAATACTGAATTCAGAATTTGTTGACTTAAAACCGGTATCAGCAGCCTTGCAGCTATATCATGGAGACCAGGGCCCCGTTCCTCAAAGCTCTCTTAACCTAAGATCTCGTAACTTTTCTCGAAGCATTCGTACCTCCTATGTTACAGTATAGTAGGCACGATTGCTACGAGAAAAGTTACGAGATCCTAAGCTTAAGAGAGCTTTGTGAAACTGGGCCTGCTGCTCCGTTCCACTAAGGAACTTTAGTTTGGTATTACCCACACTTTTGCATTGGTTTATGATTACCATTGCGTAAGGATTTTCGGAAACGGAACCCGCACAGTTTATCAGATTTAGTCGAATTGTATTTGGGGTGTAAACCTTCACCAGTATTACTGAACGCGAATTGGCGAGTTTAGATGTTGTATACGATCCTGTTACCATACAAATCAGTATCATCTCTGCGAGAACTCTCCTTTCCTGGTGGTCACCACGAATACCAATCATATGCAGCCGCCATTTTGTCCACACAGGCTCAAGTTCCGTCATCCAATACACATACCAGAGGCAGTTATAGTAAACGTGAGCAAGAGAAACAAATAAATAGATGACAATACCCATTAAATCAAACCTATTAATTCCATTGCCAGTCCTACTTATCAAAGATTTCCAAGTAAAAAGAAAGAAAGAAGAAAAATGTAGAAATTACTAATCGCTTAGTTAAGAATTTATTCCGATTAGACTCACAAAAATACCTAAGTTCTCAAATATTAAAAGTTGTCATGACTGAAGTCAAATATGTGTTTGTGTTCCGACAAGAAAATTCTAATCCAGTTAGATACAGCCTCACCGGATCTCGTTGTTGTGCCTACGTCAGATGTTATAATCAAACCAAAAACATCCTTCAAGACGATTGTTCTATGTATGGCTTCTGTCTGTGTCTACCAAGGACGGTAAAGATGTTTAATTCATAAGTATTCATATGCCATTCATATTATACAGGCGAATAAATCGTTTTTTCACACCAGCAATGCTTGCGGCAGTCACAGACAGAAATCATTTATACAATTCCCCGTCGTGATCCGTCTAATGTGTTTATCAGCGCTGCGACTCTGCGCACACTCATGAGAAACGATTGTGTTTACTATAGCTACCATAAACGTTTTCTATGATGAAAATATGTATAAATCATATTTTCTATTGTTATTTATGTAGATGGGTGAAATTTTACTGTAGCAATAAACAGAAACCAATTTTTGGAATTTTACTATTGGAATATAATCGCGATACCAAACGCTATATGGTCGCGCAGTAGTACGGCAATGTGAATTTACCTCCCGGCGCTGAAGAGCCCCAGACATTTTTTACGAGGTGATATATCTTTCCGTGGCACATAATGGTTTGCGAATGACTTGAGACTTGAGGTGATGTGTTGGGGTTAAGCGTTCAAGTTAATTCCGCTTACACAGCTACGTGCATGCTCGTGTATGTAGGATCGGGAGGGGAGGTACTGTCCACGTGCATGCTCGTGTATGTAGGAAGGGGAGGGGAGGTACTGTCCATGTGCATGCTCGTGTATGTAGGAAGGGGAGGGGAGGTACTGTCCACGTGCATGCTCGTGTATGTAGGAAGGGAAGGGGAGGTACTGTCCACGTGCATGCTCGTGTATGTAGGAAGGGGAGGGGAGGTACTGTCCACCTGATGTCCTCCCATTACGCAGACAGCCAGTTCGCAGACACCTTAAAACAACAACATTTACGGTTCAGTGAACAGATTATCTACTACCTGTTACCTACCCATTATAATGGAATAGTCTAAATAAAAACACAGGAACAAATGAAGTTATTTTATTTATTTATTTTTATTTTATTTTTATT